CCATTTTAGATTCCTCTGTTGAGAGTTCTCTGTTTAGGTCTGTACTCCATTTTTTTTTATTGGACTTTGTGATCTTTTGGTGTCCAATTTCTTGAGTTCTTTGTATATTTTGGAGCTCAGACCTCTGTCTGATGTGGGGTTAGTGAAGATCTTTCCCCATTCTGTAGGCTGTCGTTTTGTCTTGTTGACCATGTCCTTTGCTTTACAGAAGCTTTTCAGTTTCAGGAGGTCCCATTTATTAATTGTTTCTCTCAGTGTCTGTGCTGCTGGGGTTCTATTTAGGAAGTGGTTCCCTGTGCCAATGTGTTCAAGTGTATTTCCCACTTTCTCTTCTATAAGGTTCAGTGTGACTGGCTTTATGTTGAGGTCTTTGATCCATATGGACTTGAGTTTTGTGCATGGTGATAGAGATGGGTCTATTTTCATTCTTCTACATGTTGATATCCAGCTATGCCGGCACCACTTGTTAAATATGCTTTCTTTTTTCCATTTAATATTTTTTGCTTTTTTGTCAAAAATCAGGTGTTCGAAGATGTGTGGATTGATATCCGGGGGTCTTCTATTCAGTTCCATTGGTCCTCCTGTCTGTTCTTATGCCAATACCAGAGGAGAGACCCCAGAACCACTGATAATGACAGACATGGGCGTCCATAGAAACCACCAGGACTGATCAAATGAGTCAGAAGAGCAAGCACAGGCTGAGGGGAAGGGACACTAGAACACTGAAAGTTCCAAGGGGCTGCTGGGAGAGGGATCAGAGAGAAAAGGAAGTGTCTGCCAGAAGGTGAGCAGACACCAAGAGGAAGAGCTGTGGAGAATCCAGGTTCTGGGAAAGCTGCCGGGGAAGTGGGAGGGGTTAGGAGTCCCAAAATCAAAGAGCTCAAATAAGCGGACTCGTAAATAGCCAAGAACTATTCTTATTTACTGTATGCCTCGGCACACACCTGTAATCCCACATCAGGAACGTAAGGTCATCCTGGGCTAGCTGGAGTCCTAAGGCCAGCCTAGACCACATGAGACCCTGTCTCAAACTAAATTTGGTTCATTTGTTTCCAACCTGGAAGCTTGAGTTATATTTTTTTTTCTGTTAAAAATCAAAATAAATGTATCTGGGAATGCCTGATCCTATATTTCAGCTTGTGACTGCTGGGTTTAGGTTCCATTTGGTTGAGATTTTCAAGCCTGGAAAGGCTCTTAATAGGTTTCATATAATCCTTATGGAGCTCATGAGTTGTGGAGAATTTTCTCCACAGGGATACATCATTGGCTGTTAGCCAGGGCTTTGGCATTGTAGGTGTCCCTATGAATATGATAATGCCCTGGCCATTGTTTACTGTGTCCTTGCAAGATGCTTGAGTCTTCACAACCCCCTTTGGAGGTAAAAAACATGACACTCCTTGAGTTTTTTTGTTTTGATTGTTTGTCTTTTGAGACAAGGTTTCTCTGTAGCCTTGGCTGTCCTGGCACTCTCTCTGTAGATCAGGCTGGCCTCAAACTCAGAGATCCACCTGCCTCTGTCTCCCAAGTGCTAGGACTTAAAGGCTTGTGCCCCCTCACTTCCAACCACAGCAATCCTTGTTTTATAGTAGAGAAAACTGAGGTTTGGAAAGGTTAAATGGCTCCCCAAATGCCACACATCTAAAAAGCACCGAAGCTTATACTTGAACCAGGTCTGTTGAAACCCACAGACCACGATAATACCATCCTGATGGTGCCAAGGCACACCGGTGGACATCTCTTATGTCAGTTCCCCTGTCTACCACAGAGCCCCATGGGAGTCAAACATCCAGCCAAAGTTGAAAAGCCAGAGACTGAGCAAAGGGGAGGTACTGTAGTTGGTCAGATATGACTTTGCTGGATACATACAACTGAGAGATCAGAGTGAAGCCAGGGAGACAGCTCCCAGGTGAAGGCACTTGCCCAGCAAGCCTGGCAACTTGGGTTCAGTCTCAGGGAGCCACATAAAGGTAGAAGGAGAGAACCTGCACTATGGAGTTTGTGTGTTGTCACAACACCCGCACCATGGCACTTCCGCACACGGCACAAGCGTGCTTACATACAATAGCAATAGTTAATATCTAAGGCATCAGCGTGTGTACCTTTCATCCTGGTGACCATTTTGTGGGGCAGAGTATCCTCACACAGGCCTCCTGAATTTATCTTCCCTTCGGCAGGTACACCCTGACTCTCCCTGGAGACAAGCCCTGCCCTCGTGTTGGTCACAGCTGCTCATATTTACCCCCAGTTGGCGATGCCAAGAGAGGAAAGGTCTTCATTGTAGGGGGAGCAAATCCAAACCAAAGCTTCTCAGATGTGCAAACCATGGATTTGGGTAAGATCAACGCTGCAGAGCGTTCCTAGAAATGCTGGTTCTGCTGGATGTGGTGGCACAGGGCTTCAAGGCCAGAACCGGAGAGGCAGAGGCAAGACAACCCCGGGAGTTTGAAGCCAGACTGGTCTGTGTAGCAAGTTCCAGGCCAGGAAAACATAGACTCTGTCTCAAAATAATAATGATAATTGTAACAATAATAATACCAACTCACACCAGACACAGGGTTTTCCTCTTAGAGAGAGAAATATCTTCCCTGGCCCCTAAGGTCTCAGCTGACCTCTAATTCATACCCACCTGTTCAGTACTTCCTTGTTTGGGAAGAGTCTGTTGAGCCCTAGCAATCTAGAAAATGGCTATTTATTAACTGTTCTAGGAGGCACCAATGACCCTCATTTCTCCTTCTTTCTCTTGTCCGCACTCTGATTCGTCCTGACTTTCTCTGTCTTCCTCTGTGTTTGTCCCTTTTTGTAATCCACACCACTGCTGTCTCCTAGCTAGGCTTGCAGTCGTTTTTCACTCTGGTCTCCTTGCTTCCACGGTGACTCACTGTGCAGAGCATATTCCACACCTACCCAGAAAGTCTTGTTCTTTGGTTTGAGGGAGTGTTACTTTGTTTTGAAGCAGTCTCATATAGCTCAGACTGGACTTGAACTTACTGTGTAGCTGAGAATGACCTTGAACTTCTGATTCTTTTCCTTCACCTCTCAAGTGGCTACTATCATATCTCTGCGCTGCTTCACCAGGTCTGTGTAAGCTGATGCTCAAACCCTTCTGTGCACACGCTCCCATCTCCCCTTCACAGGTCTTAGCGCACAAGAGTTTAAGGTCCTTGGAGGCAGAGAGTGAGACTTTTACTCATAAGTGTATCCCCAGCCAATTCTAAATTGCCATGGTTGGCCTTCTCATAGTAATTTTAGGAAGTCTGACACCTAGACTCCTGCATGGCTATGTGGCAAGAGTTGTTTAGACCTGGAGTGTCACCTCTTGACAAGACTCCCACCTGTGGAGCCTCTGTTACTACTGTCCAGGCACTTGAGTCTCTACTCCCAGCACTAGGCACGGGTACCTTGAATCCCTTCAGCCCTCAAGGAGCTTATCTTCTACCTCAGTTACTTTGTGACTGCCTGTCTGTTCATGACAGCATCTTCCTATGCAGTCCATTCTAGCCTAGGAGTCTCTGGGTAGCCCAGGAAGACCACAAACTCACAACCCTTCTGCCTCCGCTTCCAAGTACTGGGGTCCTGAACCACCATACCAGCTTCAGTTATATCTTTATCACAAGTTATCAATGCCATGGTGACCTTAGCAAGGCCCTTTGGACCACAGTACCCTGGTACATAGAGATTACCAACTGGCTTCCTCTGCAGTTGTGGTTAACACTAACAACAGCATGGTACTTGTAAGGTCCTAGTTTAGTGCTTTGCTACCTAAAAGAATGGGTTGGTTTAGACGTCATTTCTCTGTTTGCCCAAAGACCACTTAGTCGGGCCACTTAAAATGGGGAGTCCAGGAGATTGAGATCTATAGAGATATCAGGAGTGTTTCTCAGACTCTAAGGACAAAAAATAGCAGCCCAGGCTGCTGAGAGAGTGGGAACTGACTCTAAGTGGGCCGTTTGAGTCAGGCAGCTCCCTCTGGCCCCGTTAGTCACAAGTAGAAAGTTGTGTTAAATGTACGTCACCTGGACTCTGGGAGCGAGAACGGAGACAGTTTCCATCACAGAGCGTTCATGGCCAGGCAGGCAGCCTGCCAGCGTGTACTGGAGACCATTTCAGTTTGGTCAAGTTCCCTTTAAGGACTTGATGACTGGTCGCTTGTGATTTCACCTGCTTTCACTACCCTCCCAAAGTTTGTCAGCCAGCATTACCAGTTACAGCCCCAGCCTAAGGACCGGTCAATGTTTTCTAGGGACGCAGCAGTGGGACACGGCCACCAGGGAAGGTCTCTTGCCTCGGTATGAGCATGCCAGCTTCATTCCCTCCTGTACACCTCACAGCATCTGGGTGTTTGGGGGTGCGGACCAGTCAGGAAATCGAAATTGTCTGCAAGTCTTGAATCCTGGTGAGTAGACAGAGGTTGTTTTCTTTTTTATCATGCACATGTAGGTGCAGTTACATTATGGTACATTGAATTGCTCTAATTAACCTATTTTACTTTGCTGACCTTATAGAAATAGGAATTTATAGGTTTTCTTTTTTTAATATTTATTTATTTATTATATTATGTGTATAGCATTCCTTCCGCGTGTGCCTGCAAGCAAGAAAGAGGCGCCAGGTCTCATTATAGATGGCTGTAAGCTACCATGTGGTTGCTGGGAATTGAACTCAGGACCTCTGGAAGAGCAGTCAGTGCTCTTAACCTCTGAGCCATCTCTCCAGCCATATAGGTTTTCTTTTTACATTTTAAAATATGTATGTGTGAGAGCCAGGCGGTGGTGGCGCATGCCTTTAATCCCAGCACTTGGGAGGCAGAGGCAGGCGGATCTCTGGGAGTTCGAGACCAGCCTGGTCTACAAGAGCTAGTTCCAGGACAGGCTCCAAAACCACAGAGAAACCCTGTCTCAAAAAACCAATAAATAAATAAATAAATAAATAAATAAAATATGTATGTGTGTGAATGTGTGTGTGCACATGTGTGCATGAGAGAAAGATCATACACACTGAGTAGTGTACATGTGGACATCAGTGCCTCCTTTCACTGTGTGTGTTGGTCCCAGGGAGCAAACCACCCGACTAGCCTAGGACACGTGACCTGCTCTCAAGTGATGGAATTCTAGACATGCGCCCTGACAGGACTGAATTTTCTTTTGTGTCAAGTATTGAAATTTCTTTGTAGTATTTAAAAACCATCTTTTTAGATGTCTGTTTGATTGGTTTGAGTGTTTGTTATTTTTCCTGCCCTCCCTCTCTGGAATGCAAATGCTTTTTTTAAAAAAGTACATTTTATTTTGTTTTTCAGACCGAGTTTCTCTGTGTAGCCCTGACTGGCTGTCCTGGAACTACACTCTATAGACTAGGTTGGCCTTAAATTTAGAGATCCATCTGCCTCTGCCTCCTGACTGCTGAGATTAAAGATGTGTAACATCACCACTGGCTAAAATATTTTATTTTTTAATTTTATGTGTATGCAGAACTTCCTTCTTTCCTCCTTCCTTCTCTCCCTCCACCTTTCTTCTCTCTCTCTCTCTTTCTTTCTCTTTCTTTCTTTCTTTCTTTCTTTCTTTCTTTCTTTCTTTCTTTCTTCCTTTGACATGGTCTCACTCTGTAGCCCTGGCTGGTCTGGAACTCTTTATATAGAGACTGGCTTGAATCAGAGATGCACCTACCTCTGCCTTGCAAGTACCAGGATTAAAGGCAAGCATCACCACCATGGCTGAAATGTAGATGCTTTGAGGATAAGGGTCCAGAACACAGTCAGATATAGAGTAGACGGCCCCCCAACCTCCTGGTCTGTCTGGAACACCACCACAGAGTATAATGGGTAAGCTGGGTCTGGGGGGACAGTCCTGATAGCCCAGCTGCTTGGGAGGCCGAGGCAGAAGGATCACGAGTTCGGGGCATTCTGGGCTAGAGTCTGATGGTTGACAGTTCAGATCGCCAGAGTGTAGGCAGCAGTAGAGTGCTTGCCTGGCGTGTATGGATTTCTTGGTTTGATTCCCAAAACTTGGGGAAGTAGAAGTCACGGTGTGTGTGCACATGCATGTGTGTGCGCATGTGTGTGTGCTTATATATGCCTGTATGCATATGTGCACGTGTGTGCGCATGCGTATGTGAGGGGGTGTTGCGCACGTGCGTGCGTGTGTGTGCTTACATATGCCTGTGTGCATATGTGTGCGTGCATATGTGCGTGTGTACAGTGTGTGCACATGCGTGTGTGCATGTGCTCTACAGCTTTATAGCCCAGGCCTTCCTCCTCAGCTTCACAAGTGCTGAGTTCACAAGTCATTTGCTAGGACCCTGTCTTTTTGACTCTAGGTAATAGCATTTATTTGAAAACAAAACAAAAAACCCACAGTGGTGATATAATCCCAGCATTCTGAAGGCAGAGGCAAGCAGTTCTCTACAAACTTGAGGCCAACTAGGCCTATGTAGCAATTCCAGGCCAGGCCTGTCTCAATACAAAACAATAAAAACAAAACAGTAGAACTTTGGTAGCTTCTGTCAGAGAAATTGATTTTATTTTTTTGTGAATATTCCTTTACACTGTATGAATACATGTCATTGTGATTGGTTTAATAAAGAAGCTGCCCACAGTTAGGCAGGACAAGGTTAGGCAGGAGAGCCAGACTTAAAGAGACCGCTGGGAAGAAGGAGGAGGAGTCCGAGGAGTCGCCAGCCAGACTTGGAAGAGTCAACATGGACAGTGCACAGATGAGGGAAATGAGCCTCAGAGCAGCACACAAATGAATAGAAATGGACGAATTCAATTTACAAGAGCTTGTTAAACACAAGTTTGAGCTATCGGCTGAGCATGTATAGTTAATAATAAGTCTCTGTGTGGTTATTTGGAACTGACAGGACAGAAAAGTCCACCTACATTTTTTATTTGTTTTGTTTGTTTTTGCTGATGGAGTCTTGCTAACGAGTGCAGGCTCTTAGTCCTCCTGCCTCGTTCTCCCGAGTGCTGCAGTTACAAGCTTGAGCCACCACACCCAAGAGTCAGTTTCTGTGATTCAAGTCCTGCCCAAGATCTGCAGCTCTAGAGAGGGCTCACTTTGCTCTGATGTAGGCTACGCCTTCTAGTTTGGCTCCCACATGTACTGTATATGCCTGGTGTAGCTTTTGATATGTTGAATGCAGATCTTTTGCAAGAGAGGCACGGAGGGAGGTTTTCTAACAGGAAATCCTGTGGGACTAGTGTAGGAGTCTGACAGACCAGGTTCAAGGCTGTTTCCTCTCTGGTCTTCTGGCGTCTCCTCGCACCCATCTCCTCCTTCCTGCCTAGCTACTGGCCTTTCAGCTCTTTACTAAACCAATCACAGTAATACATCTTCACACAGTGCACAAATACCCCACACCAGCTTGGGCCCACCACCCTGCCTGAGGAGGTGCTGAATTAGTGCATCTGTTCCTATGACATCCATGGTTTCTTTTCTTCCTTCCTTCCTTTCTTTTTTAAACTTATTTATTATGTATACAATATTCTGCCTGCCTGTATGCCTGCAGCCAAGAAGAGGGCACCAGATCTTAATACAGACGGTTGTGAGCCACCATGTCGTTGCTGGGAATTGAACCTAGGGCCTCTGGAAGAGCAGCTTGTGCTTTTAACCTCTGAATTTACATTTTATTTTCAAAGGAAAGAAACTCTGTGCATCCTCCATGTGGTGACATACACTTTTTGTTTTCAAGACAGAATGGTACAAAAAGCACAGACCATGGTGTTATTAAAACTGTTCATACTGGGGCTGGAAAGATGGCTCAATGGTTAAGAGCACTGGCTGTTCTTCCAGAAGACCTAGGTTCAATTCCCAGCAGCCTCTAAAGGTGTGCATGCAGACAGAGCATTTGTATACATGAAATAAATTTTTAAAAACAAAACTGTTCAAACTGGCGCTGGAGAGTTAACTCAGCAGTTAAGCACACTGGCTGTTCTGATAGGGGACCCGGGTTTGATTCTCAGCGCCCTCATTGAGGCTCACAACCGCCTGTAACTCCAGTCCAGGAGATCTGATGCCCTCTGGCCTTCCTGAGCACTAGGCATGGTGTACACATGTAGATCCAGGCAAAACAGCCATGCATGTAAAAATAAAATAAATATAAAAAGTGTGTCTAAGGCCGGGCATGCCTTTAATCCCAGCACTTGGGAGGCAGAGGCAGGCGGATCTCTGTGAGTTCGAGACCAGCCTGGTCTACAGAGCTAGTGCCAGGACAGGCTCCAAAGCCACAGAGAAACCCTGTCTCGATGCTGGCCGGGCTACTTAACAAGGAACAGTGTAGCTTGGCTTCAGCTTCCGTCTGAGAAAGGAGAAACTGACATTTATTTGCCATTTTTATTCAGTAGGATTATTAGTGCTCTGAAATTGCAGTGATATTGTCTATTTTCTTTTTTTTTTTTTTTAGTGTATTGTATGTAATGAGTACTCTGTACCTACATGTGTGCTTGCCGCCAGAACAGGGCATGAAATTCATTGTAGGTGGTTGTGAGCCGCCATGTGAATGCCAGGAATTGAACTCAGGACCTCTGGAAGAGCAGCCAGTGCTCTTAACCTCTGAGCCATTTCTCCAGCCAGTCTTTCTTAAGCCGTATATTTTGGGAAACTTGGCACGTCTGTGCTGTCATAGTGGGGATGGGTTTTAGCAGATGCAGGGCTCTTGGATGCGGAAGCAGAGCTGTCAGCAGAGCGGAAGGGCTCAGATATGGCACTGACCTCACTCCTCAGGTTTGGGGCATTTGGTCTGTCTGAACAACCTCTGATATCTTTCTATTCTTCCTTAGCATTGGGGAGTATGAGCTCTCTGCCTAAAGTTGGGCTGTTCTGTGCTGTGCTGTGCCATGCCGTACTGTGTTCCTTAGAGACTAGGGTACCAAGGTGCCCCTGCTAGGCGCAACCAGAGTCGCAATCAGGTCTGCGGATGTGCATCAGTGGTAGAAGGCAAGCCCAGCGGGTCTTGGATACAGATCCCTAGCACCTCAGAAAATTAACAGTAAGTCAGAAGCCCCTCAGCCTAGATCTTGTTTCTTTTCTCTCTGGACTAGAAACCAGGACTTGGACTACACCAGAAGTGAGCAGCCCCCCACCGTCCCCAAGAACATTCCACACATCATCAGCAGCTATCGGAAACCACCTGTATGTCTTTGGGGGAGGAGAGAGAGGTGCCCAGCCCGTGCAGGATGTGACGCTGCATGTATTTGACGCAAGTACGGACTAGGGATGTGGGGGTCGTGGGGCTGCTTAACTCCATTATCTCTCCTACAGGAAACAGGGTCTTGAGAAAAGATTTTGAGCTAAGTAAATTACTTGCCTAGCATGCACCAATCCCCACCCACATTTCATCCCTAGCACCAGACAAACCAAGCATGATGACAGATGTGTGTCTGTAATCCCAGTAGGTGAGATCAGGCCTAGCTGAGGATACAAGAAGCCTGTCTCAAAATAAATAAATAAATCTTGGTGGCCCTGCCCTTGATTTCCTGTATCTGTCAAAAACAAACAACGAAAGAAAGAGAGCGAAAGAGAAAAACAAAACAACTTAAAGACTTTTCACAGAAGAAGCAAAGATCTGGGCTGGAGAGATGGCTCAGAGGTTAAGAGCATTGTCTGCTCTTCCAAAGGTCCTGAGTTCAATTCCCAGCAACCACATGGTGGCTCATGACCATCTGTAATACCCTCTTCTGGCCTGCAGGCATACACACAGACAGAATATTGTATACATAATAAATAAATATTAAAAAAAAAAGAAGCACACACCTTTATTTTAACTTTGGGCTAGTTCTGGGTTAAAGCCTAAGGGACATATTTTTTCTTTTTTGGTTTTTCAAGACAGGGTTTCTCTGTAGCTTTGGAGCCTGTCCTGGAACTAGCTCTGTAGACCAAGCTGGCCTAGAACTCACAGAGATCCTCCTGCCTCCTGAGTGCTGGGATTAAAGACGTACACCACCACTGCCCAGCTAAGGGACATATTTTTCTAATCCAAAGCAAAAAATGACTTCCTAATACCTAGACTGGAGACAGGCCTGCTAGGTTATTGGCTTTGTGGTCTCCATCCCTGGAAGTGTTTAAGTACAGGTTGGATAGCAGGGTTGAGATCTACTTGGCTGATAAGTCAGAGGGAGGATTTCTTTTTCTTTCTTTCTTTTTTTTAATATTTATTTATTTATTATGTATACAATATTCTGTCTGTATGCCTGAAGGCCAGAAGAGGGCACCAGACCTCATCACAGATGGTTGTGAGCCACCATGTGGTTGCTGGGAATTGAAATCAGGACCTTTGGAAAAGCAGGCAATGCTCTTAACCACTGAGCCATCTCTCCAGCCCCCCTTTTTCTTTCTTTCTTTTAACATTTTTTCTTTTTTTTTATTGTTTTTATTGTGCTGTACATTTTTCTCCCCTTTACCCTTCGACCCTCTGCTATGACTCCCATGCTCCCAATTTACTCAGAAAATCTTGTCTTTTTCTCTTTCCTACCTATTTAGATCCAGTATATTTCTCTTAGGGTCAGAGGAAGGATTTCAAGGTCACTTCCTTCATGTAGCATCTTTCCACTGGGAAGTGCTGAAGAAGCTTGCCACATAGTATTAATGCATTTACTTTTGTAGGCACTTTGACCTGGTCTCAACCAGAGACACATGGAAGTCCTCCATCTCCCCGGCATGGCCATGTGATGGTTGCAGCAGGGACAAAACTCTTCATCCACGGAGGCTTGGCAGGGGACAAGTTCTTTGATGATCTCCATTGCATTGATACAAGTAAGTATGTTAGAGTCCAGGGGATTTGTGTGTTCAAAATGGTTTAAAATATGTTGGAAAGAATTCAGCTTTGCTCTGATAACTTGCGCAGCTGTTAGAGTCTTTCCTAGATCCTATGAAGCATAGCCTGAGTAATAAGGAATACAAAGCTGGAGAGCCAGCTCAGCCGGGAAACACTGGCTGCACCTTCCAGAGTCTGTCACCCTTTCTGTCCTCCACAGGCAGAGAGAACACTGTCTACACTAAATAAATGAATCAGAAAGGCAGATAGATAGACCGACAGACAGACAGAGCTGAAGAAGAGGAGGAAAAAGAAAAATAATTTGGACTAGAGAAATGGCTCATCTGGGTGGTGGCGCACATCTTAAATCCTAGCATTTGGGCAGCAGAGGCAGGAGGATCTCTGTGAGTTTGAGGCCAGCCTGGTCTACAGAGCTAGTTCTAGGAGTGATGTGGGAAGTCCTTTTGTATATGTGTTACTTTTATTAGTTTAGTTAATGAATAAAACTGTTTCGGCCTATGGCTTAGCAGAGTAAAGCCAGGTGGGAAAATCTGAACAGAGAGTAGGCAGAGTCAGTGTAGCTGCTGAAGGAGGCAAACGTCATGGAGCTGCCCAAGAAGCAAGAGGTAACAAACCATGAGCCTGTGGTAAAATATAAAATAATAAAAATGGGTTAATGTAAGATATAAAAACTAGCTGAAAATACATATGAGCTGTTGGCCAAACAGTGTTGTAATTAATATAGTTTCTGTGTGATTATTTGGGTCAGGGTGGCCGGGAAATAAGTCTCGGCTTACATAGGACAGCTAGGGCTGTCCCAGGGTTTCAAGAAACCCTGTCTCAAAACAAAACAAAACAGAGAGATAGGGGGAAATGGCTCAGTAGTTAAATACTGCTCTTACAGAATACCCAAATTCAATTCTCAGCACTCACTGGCAGCCCCAGATGATTCAGCTGGTCTCAGCTGACCTCTGCACATCCCCACGCATACACACACATGTGCATAATTAAAAATAAAAAATTTTAGCTGGGCGGTGGTGGTGCACACCTTTAATCAAAATACTTGGGAGGCTGAGGCAGGTAGATCGCTGCAAGTTAAACATAAGCCTGGACTACAGATTGAGTTCCAGGACAGCCAGGGCTACATAGAGGAACCCTGTTTTGTCAAAACCCAAAAAACAGGGCTGGAGAGATGACTCAGCGGTTAAGAGCACTGGCTGCTCTTCCAGAGGTCCTGAGTTCAATTCTCAGCAACCACATGGTGATTCACAACCATCTGTAATGAGATCTGGCGCCCTCTTCTGTCGTGCAGGCAGACATGCAGACAGAACACTATATATAATTTTTAAAAAAATCTTTAAAAGAAAAAAACAAAACAAAATATTCTATATATTTGGGTGTTTTTCCTGTATATATGTCTGTGTACTTACCACATGTACGTAATAGGGGCCAGAAGAGGGTACTGGAATCCCTGGAACTGGAGTTACAAGTGGTTGTGGGTGCTGGGAATTAAACCTAGAAAGAACTTCTAGAAGAGCCAAGGCATCTCTCTAGCCCCCAAATACATCTTCTTAAATTTTTGTTTGCTTTTTTTTTTTTTTTAATTTTTTTGAGACAGGGTCACAATTGGCTCGCCAAGGCCAAGATGACCCTGAACTCCTTGAGCTCCAAGCCTGAGCTCCCAAATCCTGGAACTAAAGGTTTGTGCCACCACACCCATCCGACTACGTCTCTTAAAAATAAATAAGTAAATAAAATAACGTACGAGGGTAGTTGTGGTGTGAGTGAGCCTTTAACCCTAGCACTATGAGGCAGAGGCCCAGTCTTTGTGAGTTCAAGGCTAGCCTGGTCTACAAAGTGAGCTCCAGGACAGTCAGAGCTGTTACACAGAGGAACCCTGTCCAGAAAAACAAACAAACCAAAAAAAAAAACCTAAAATGAAAACAAATCCAGCCATTCCTAAACACTTAGTGTGTGTGTAGGCACCCAGCCCTCCCCATTGTCCTTTCCGACATTTCATGTTCCCCGGAGGAGCTCTTTTTTTTTTTTTTTTTTTTTTTTTTTTGGTTTTTCGAGACAGGGTTTCTCTGTGGCTTTGGAGCCTGTCCTGGAACTAGCTCTTGAAGACCAGGCTGGCCTCGAACTCCCAGAGATCCACCTGCCTCTGCCTCCCAAGTGCTGGGATTAAAGGCGTGTGCCACCATCGCCCGGCTCCCAGCAGAACTCTTTAGGCTTTGGCTCCTGCTCCAGTTCTGGTCCAGCTAATGAAGGTGAATGACCAGCGCTGCAAGTTTGCTGGGCTGCCTGGTCAAAAGGCATAGAGAGAACCTAAAGACTGTCTCCACCTCTGAAGGTGGGACTCTCGTAGGCCTTTCTAGCTGTGAGCTCTGAGGGGTGGGGACTTCCTCTTTCCTTTGTGTTTTTCAAGCACTTAGTGCCATCACCTGGGGAGTGGGTGAGATTTTGTCTGCTCTTGAAAGGCTGGATGAATAAATGAGCAAGATCTGCCTGGCTCTAGACTACAGAACCAAGGGGTGATGGGCAGAAGGCACAAGAACTCCCGTGCAGAGGATTTGAGTCCTTACAAAGTGACTCCCGGAAGCAGGCTCACTAGCTGAAATTCCAAATTCCTCTATTAGTTACAATCAGGGCTTTCTCTTCCTTTTTTTTTTTTTTTTTTTTTTAGAGAGAGAGTCAGGCTGTGCAGCCCAACATCTTTGGCCTGCTGAATTCAAGGACTAGAGACATTTGCTCCTGTATAGTTTCAAATAGGACGGCATTTGTTCTTGTTTTGAGAAAAGGTTTTTCTGTGTAGTTCTGGCTGTCCTGTAACTCGCTCTGTAGACCAGGCTGGCCTCAAACTCACAGAGATCCACTTGCCTCTGAGTGCTGGGGTTAAAGGCGTGTGCCATCATACTTGGCCTCATATATTTCTTAAGACTGCCCATTTTCCTGTGCTGAGGAAGTACTTCCTTGCTATTGTTTTCTACCTTCCCAAACAGTTTTCTACTCTAAAATCCAGTGGTATGTATGTACTTCTCTTAAGTGCTCCTTTGAAAACATGCGAACATCTTTGGAAAAGTAGTGTTGGGAGTAAGTGCTGAGTCAGCAATGTGCGGAGTAGTGGCCAAAGGCTTTGCAGACCAACAGTCCCTTCCGAGCTACTCTGGTGGGTTCCCCTCTCACCTGTGCGCTCATCCATGTGGAGAAAGGATGTAGATGAAGTGATAGCAACTCAAAGGGCTCAACAGAGTTGCTGTTGGGGGGGCCGGAGAGATAGCTTGGTATCTTCCAGAGGACCTGCCTGGGTTTGATTCCTAGAACCCACATGGCAGCTCACAGCCAGTGTAATTTCAGTCCAAGTCATGAAAAACCCTCCTCTGACCTCCATGAGCACCATGCATGTGGTACACAGACAAATATGCGAGCAAAAGATACATATGCATTTATGGACATGTGAGTCTGGATATTTATATACACGCACATGCACACATGGCCTTACCTATCTGGACAGCAAACAGTGATCTCTCGGCCGTGGATGACCCTCAGTAATCATATTGCAAACTGCAGCAGGTAATTTGAAATCCCATGTTAGCTCATGTGCAAACCCTTTCTTGTGACAGGTAATATGAAATGGCAGACGCTTAGTCCCACGGGGGCTGTTCCGTCAGGCTGTGCTGCCCACGCAGCCGTGGCTGTAGGAAAGCATGTCTATGTGTTTGGAGGGATGACGCCCACTGGAGCACTGAACACAATGTATAAGTATCACACAGGTGAGCAGGCGTCACTCCTGATCGTTAAACAAACACAAACGTTCTTTGAAAAGTGATGCAGAATTTTGTTGGCCTGTGGTGACACACACCTTTAATCCCTGCACTCAGGAGGCAGAGGCAGGCAGAGGTCTGTGAGTTCGAGGCCAGCCTGGTCTACATAGCAAGTTCCAGGACAACCAGAGCTACACAAAGAAACCCTGGCACAAAAAAAAAAAAAAAACCCACAGAAAAACAAGGTCTCTTTGTACACCCCAGCTAGTCTGAAAATGGCAGCATCATCCTGCCACGCCTCCTGAGCACTGTTACTACAGATGCCCACTATCTGGCCCAGCCTGTTTCCCCCTTTATTTCCTCTTTGTGGGTTGACTAGTGCAGGAAATCATTGACTGTCTCTGTCCCCCTTCCTTAGAAAAGCAGCACTGGACCGCACTTCAGTTTGATACTTTTCTGCCCGCTGGACGCCTGGACCACTCCATGTGTGTCATCCCATGGCCAGTGATGTCCACCTCAGAGAATGAAGACTCAGATTCTCTCATCCTCAGCTGTGAAGCTGAGAAAGGGGGTACTGATGACAAACAAGTGACTCGGGGTAGCGGGTCACCTGAGGAAAGGCAGACTCCCACGCTGCTCTGTTTTGTCTTTGGTGGGATGAACACAGAAGGGGAGATCTATGACGACTGTATTGTCACTGCAGTTGACTAATAAAACCCACGTTTTTATTGTTAGTTTTTACAAAAGCAAAGGCTCTGAGTCATGCTGCCAAACACTCTACACAGTGTATTCTCTTAACCAAGAGGATGGGACGGGATGGTGTACACCTCTAGTTACACAAGGGAAGTAGAGGCAGAAGGGTCACCCTCAGCTACACAGTAGATTGGAGGCCAGCCTGGGCCACACAACATGGATGCTGTCTCCAAAAAGAACGACTTTAAGATGGCTCAGCAGATAAAGGCACTTACCCCTAAACCTGATGACCTGAGTTCAATCCCAGGAAACCACATCATGGAGAACCAACTCCTAGTTGTCCTCTGACTTCTACATGCTGCTGTGATGGTGTTCACTCACGTGGTGGGTGGGTGGGTGGGTGGGTGGAAGGAAGGAAGGAAGGAAGGAAGGAGGGAGAATGGGTGGAAGGGTGGATGGATGGAAGGATGGGTGGATGAAGGGTGGGTGGATGTATGGGAGGAAAGGATGGTTGAATGGTTCATTTTTTTAAAATAAATTTCCATCATGTATGGTGCATGCCTTTAATCCTAGCACTTGGGAGGCAAAGGCAAGTGATTTCTGAGTTCAAGGCCAGAGTGGACTATAGAATGAGTTCCAGGACAGCCACAGCTGTTATATATTGTGGTTCCTCAGAAACACCAACAGACAAATCTCTAGGCAGACCTGGGGTTTAAGTAAGTCTGTGAGCCAAAGCTCTGTCAAATGTTAACACTGGCCTTGTTTGCTTCATGCTGGAATATATGTATAATCTCCATCTTGCACTTTTAACTGGATGGCCCAGTGCAACAATTCCATTATAAAGTTTTACCAGCAATGAAATCTGTAGATACCCAAACTAGGTATTGGAGTAGATATTTCTCAGTGGGAATCTTTTTAATGTGCATTAGTCATTAGAAGTGCAGACGGGCTGGAGACAGCTCAGTTTAGAGCACTGCTTTAACTGAGGACCCACACGGTAGCTGACACGTCTCTAGTCCAGCTCCAGGGGATCCTATGCCTGAAGTAGGCAAAACAGTCAAAGTACTGACAAAAGCTGTGTGAGGTATTTCAGTTCATAAGCCTGATTGTGCACCTCCCCTAAACCTTGTTCATCTTGGGCACATGACCCATCTAAAAACGGGGGAGAGCAGGAAGCAGAGCATGGTGGTGGGTGTATGCAGAGCCTAGTGTGCATAGTGGGACCCTGATATGTTTTTAAGAGTGCTAACACTGGAGGACTAGAGTGAAGACTCTTACTCCTGTTTACCCTTTGACCTGCCATGAAGCCAAGGCCAATTTTAACATTTGACAGGGGCTGGCCTCAAAGTGTCATTCCCCTGTCTCAGCATCAGAGTGCTAGGATTATAGGTATGAAGTATCTATCATGCACCTGCCCATCACTTTTTTAGTATAGGGAATCCTGCCTCAGCCAGCTTCCTGAATATAGGAATTACTGGCATGAGACACCATGCTGGGTTCAAATTATATCAGATAGCACACAAATATGCAGCTCAGGTTTGTTCTCAGATCCCCAAATCCATCATTCTGAGTAAATGTTACAGCTGGCTGCTCAGTCGTAGAACACCCATCTTTGAGCAGTACTGAATTTCATGTTAGCTCTGAACAAAATCCTGATTATACTCATTACCTAGTGCATCCCTTTCCCGAGGAGGCCAATCCAAACCATCGTCTACCAGTCCTCTGACTATCAAGTAAAGTTTATAATTAACATTTCAGAAGTGGGGATTCTCCCAAATGAGGCTTCAGACCATGTTGTGGTTCATAAGCCCTCATGAACTAGCTAACTGAAGCTGGTATTTCATTAATGTTCCTGCTTCCAGCCTGAGCCACTACATCCACTATGCAGTGCTGGGTGTCAGACATGCCAATTGAAGTAAATCCTTAGGCTGCAGAGAGGATCTGGAACTCACTATGTAGACAATTGATGGCCTCAGAGATCCTCCTGCCTCGGACTCCATCAAAGGTGTGTACCACTGCATTTTCAAACTATACATCTTAAAATATAAATCACAAACTAAGTACCACCCAGTGACAGGCCGTGGGTTTGATTTGACACCACAAAGAAAAATAAAATTCAAGTGTATAAGTCATCAGGTTGCTCAAAAAAATTTCTTCTCAAGCCGGGAGATGGTGGCGGACGCCTTTAATCCCAGCACTCGGGAGGCAGAGGCAGGTGGATCTCTGGGAGTTCGAGGCCAGCCTGGTCTAAAAGAGCTAGTTCCAGGACAGGCACCACAGCTACAGAGAAACCCTGTCTCGAAAAACAAAAACAAAAAAAATTCTTCTCCAGCAGAGGATCAAACCAGGGCTTCTTTACACTTACAAAGCAATGCCCTACTACTGAGTAACTATCCACTTTACATCTTTTCAGACAGCCGCAGTTCCCTAGGCGGGTCTTGGAGTATTCTCTTGCCACAGCTGGAATTACAAGCCTGGCACATCACCAATTCAGAAGAAAATCCATAGCCCCACAGCATTACTTAACAATAAAAATCAGATAAGGTAGTAACGGTGCACACTTTTAATCCCAGCACCCAGGAGGCTGAGACACATGGTTCCAGACCAGCCTGGCCTAAAATGTGAGTTCTAAGAGAGGCAAGGTTACACAGAGATCTTGTCTTGAAATACCAAAACCAAAGAACAACAAAAAACACCCAGAAAGCAGTTTTACAAAGGGGAAGTAAGAATTCAATCATGTTGAAGAGAACTAGGAATGACAAGGGTCATTTCATACAGCAAAACCCTTTGCCTTGCTGTAAAGCTAGACAAATTTCCCAGGGAGTGGTACCACCCAAATCACAAGCCTCCACCTCCACCCTCCCTTTCCTGCCGAACAGATAGGCAGACCTGAGAATCCGGCCTTAAATTTTAGTTATCTAAAATAAAAGACAGATAATTATAAGGTTTTCACAAAAATTAGACCAGTGTAAATAACAAACATTTATTGGTGTCACTTATGGTAGAAAAAAGTTCCTACACCAGATGTGCATGACCCAATTGTTAAATAGAACATTTCCAAGGTGAAATATTGTAAATACTGGACTCAGGAACTTTCGGTAGGAGAAAATTGAGAGTACTTATAAGTCTCGAATGTAATTTTCTCCTAACGAAAGTTCCTGAGTCCAGTATTTACAATATTACAATATTTACAGTAAATTACAATTATTACAGCCCTTGCAGATCAGTGCGCCTACAACTCGTCTTTCTCTGATGTATCTTCCTCACCAGTTGGGGGAGGGCCTGCACTTCCATAGAGTTTGCTAATAATAGGCTGAACAATTTCTTCTAGCTCCTTCTTTTTAGCTTTAAAGTCTTCAATGTCGGCATCCTGGTGGCTTTCCAGCCACTCAATCTTTTCCTCTACAGCTTTTTCCATGGTTTCTTTGTCTTCAGAGGAGAGTTTACCTCCCAGCTTTTCTTTGTCTCCAATCTGATTCTTGAGAGAGTAGGCATAGCTTTCTAGCTCGTTCCTGGTGTCAATGCGCTCTTTGAGCTTCTTGTCTTCCTCAGCAAACTTCTCAGCATCGTTAACCATTCTTTCGATCTCTTCAGGTGTCAGGCGATTTTGGTCATTGGTAATTGTGATTTTGTTTTTGTTTCCTGTACCTTTGTCTTCAGCTGTCACTCGAAGAATACCATTAACATCTATCTCGAAGGTGACTTCAATCTGCGGTACCCCACGGGGAGCTGGAGGAATTCCAGTCAGATCAAATGTACCCAGAAGATGGTTGTCTTTTGTTAGGGGTCGTTCACCTAGAGTAATAACAGGAAAAACTTGTTACTGAAGAGCCTAGTGCACTGGTATCCTTATACTTCAACCTGTTAGAATATAGGGGTATGGGGAGGGGAGCAAAGACTACTACTATTAACCAAATTCCATTTCTTAAAAAGCACTGTAAGTCCCTTTTTTGTATTCCAAAAGCCAGTGGACAAGAATGTTAAGTAAGTAGAGAATCTAAAATTCAGCACTAAGCAACCTCTTCACATTTGAATTACAGAAGATACTTCTTTCCCTGGGCATTTAACAATGTATCATTAGATCCAAAGTCACACTCTTTCAAAGTTTACAGTATTTGTGAATATAAGCAATTACCTTCATAGACCTTGATTGTTACAGTTGGCTGGTTATCAGAAGCTGTGGAAAAGATCTGAGACTTCTTGGTGGGTACCACAGTGTTCCTTGGAATCAGTTTGGTCATGACGCCTCCCACAGTTTCAATACCAAGTGTAAGGGGACATACATCAAGCAGTACCAGATCACCTGGCAAAGGAAAATCAATCAAGTTAGGTTCTGATTAGAGTCCTAAGAGCACTGCCATGCAATCTCCCACTGCCATTTGCCCAGGTTCTAACCATAAACACTTTAGGGCAAATGAATTAATAGCTGCTAATGATTTTAACTAAACCTGATCCAAGTCTTATCATCACTGTATCTTGATCACATAGCGGGGCTATGTGGCCCCGATGTTCCTACCCTACTGCTTTCTGTTTCAACAGCTGATCATAGTCTTCCCATCAAACTACTCAAACAAGTGAAAGATGCAGTGACCTACCTGTATCTTGATCACCAGAGAGGACACCAGCCTGGACAGCAGCACCATAGGCTACAGCCTCATCCGGGTTTATACCACGGGATGGCTCCTTGCCGTTGAAGAACTCTTTCACCAGCTGCTGAATCTTTGGAATTCGAGTAGATCCACCAACAAGAACAATTTCATCAATATCAGATTTCTTCAAATCAGAGTCTTCCAACACTTTCTGGACTGGCTTCATGGTAGATCGGAACAGGTCCTGGCCAAAAAAAAAAGAAAAGGCATGATTACTATGCTGCCACCATACACGTGACGCTGTTTAGTTTAGTTGCTCTGCGTTCAGGGATCTACAGTCTAAGCAGATCTCATTAGCACTGACAAAGAGCATACCATGTTCAGCTCCTCAAATTTGGCCCGAGTCAGGGTCTCAGAGAAGTCTTCTCCTTCAAAGAAGGACTCAATTTCAATTCTTGCTTGATGCTGAGAAGACAGGGCTCGCTTAGCCTTTTCCACCTCACGCCGGAGTTTCTGCACAGCTCTGTTGTCTTTCCTAACATCTTTCCCAGTTTTCTTCTTGTACAGCTTGATGAAGTGCTCCATAACCCGCTGATCAAAGTCTTCCCCACCGAGATGAGTATCTCCATTAGTGGCCACCACTTCGAAGACACCATTGTCAATGGTCAGAAGAGACACATCGAAGGTTCCGCCACCCAGGTCAAACACTAGGATGTTCTTCTCTCCCTCCCTCTTATCCAGGCCGTATGCAATAGCAGCTGCTGTGCTGTAAGAATGAAAAAGGGGGGAAAATCTTAGTCAGGGGCACTTTCCCCCCACTTAGCAAAGAGCCTGGCCAGGAGTCCAACACTTACGGCTCATTGATGATCCTCATGACATTCAGTCCAGCAATGGTGCCAGCGTCTTTGGTTGCTTGCCGCTGGGCATCATTGAAGTAGGCTGGTACAGTAACAACTGCATGGGTAACCTAGGAAGACAACAAAAATAATTTACGTATACTCTGTTACTTCCCTGTCTTACCAACTACAGTAGTTTCTAAGCCAGCTTACTGATAAGGGCACAAACCACACACATTCTAACAACAGGATTAAATGGTAACTTGTGAAAACCGACTAGCATGTATTTAGCTTGACCTCCCACAAAGCGCTACATCATCAACCCTGACAAAAGCTGTTACCAGTTTTAAATTTTAAACCAGGAAGGCTTCCTAGGTAAGCCAACAGGAGGAGCAACTGCCACCTTCAACACTTAGCATCGTTCCACACATGTATTTACCTTCTTTCCCAAATACGCTTCAGCTGTTTCTTTCATCTTAGTAAGAACCATGGCAGAAATTTCCTCTGGGGCAAATGTCTTGGTTTGCCCACCTCCAATATCAACTTGAATGTATGGCTTGGTTTTCTTCTCAACCACCTGGAGTACGGAATGATTGAAAGGTAATTTCCCCAAAGCGCAAACAATGGCACTACAAACTTTAAAGGGAAAAAACCCACCATTTTTTCTCCCCCATAGCTTGATTCATTTTGCTCCCTTAGGGAGATCTTGACTAAACTAAGAACCGCTGTGCTGTGACAGAGCGCCAGATTTGGTCTGTCTTTCAACTTTTAGACACTGTAATACTGTGTTACGTTTTATGATACTAAAAACGACAACGTCTAAAACCGTTACATAAACCCCTACCACATCCTTTTAGCCGTTTGAGTGTATTTTTTTCCGCCTAGTCGCAACCCTTTATTCCCACCACCCTAGCCGCCCCCTTCAACGTGGAAACAAAAAAAACACCAAACCCGTATCGGACCTTGAAAGGCAAGAACTTGATGTCCTGCTGCACCGAGGGGTCATTCCAAGTGCGTCCGATGAGGCGCTTGGCGTCGAAGACCGTGTTCTCGGGATTGGAGGTTAGCTGGTTCTTGGCTGCGTCGCCAATCAGACGCTCGCCTTCGGGAGTGAAGGCCACATACGACGGCGTGATGCGGTTGCCCTGATCGTTGGCTATGATCTCCACGCGGCCGTTCTTGAACACTCCGACGCTGACGGAAAAACCCCACAGAAAAGGAAATCAGCACCTCACTTTCTCACGCCAGGCCGAGGCCACGCCCCACTCTCCCGCACCTCAAAACGCCACTTACCAGGAGTAGGTGGTCCCCAAGTCGATGCCGACCACCGTGCCCACATCCTCTTTCTTATCCTCCTCCTCGGCCCACACCGCGCAGAGCAGCAGCAGCGCCGCCGCCACCACAGTGAACTTCATCTTGCCGGCGCTGTGGACCAGTCGCTCAGCGGTCGCTCGGGAGTCGCGGACGTGCAGCAACAGGCTGTAGCCTCGCAGCGCGACGACGTTCCGATCCGGAGTCGGGAGGAGCCGCGAAGCAGGCTCAGCGAAGGCCTGGAAGAAGCAGGCCGCGGCGCTCAACTCTCACGCCCGCGGACACCCGAAGCTGCTCTCTGTGTTGTCTGGCCAGTGTGGAGCATGCTGTCGCCGACTCGGCTTATATACCCTGCCCCCAGCCCCGTCGTGGAGGCCTCCGATTGGTGAAGGCGCTTCTCGTTGGAGGCCGCTGATTGGTCCATTACACCAAGCTGGCCGCCGCCGATTCGAAGCGGCCTCCTCCGCAACTCACGTCACTGCTACGCCCCCCGGGCTGACTCATTGGCTACTGATCGGTCTAAACAACCGCCAATGAGAGGCTGCATCCGCCCTGTGCGTTGGTCCTATTGGCTCAGCAGCTGCCTGTCCCTCGGGTGACCTCTCACCCTGAAGACCGTTTCCGCCGGTAACCGTCCTGGTCCTCCCCTCACGCCGGGGCCCCGGGGGACTGGTGCAGGGTCTGCGTGTCAGTTCCCCCGGGGCGGTGGGACTTGGTTCCTCCCCTTTGTGTCCATCACTCCGAGGCACTGCGCAGCCTTTTCTCCTCCTAGCTTCCCTCTCGACCCGAGATGCCCCGGCTCCGCGAAGATGCTGTGGTCGCCTGGGAACAGTTTCTCTGCCCTTCCCTGCCTCCACACCTTCTCAGGTGTCCGAGCGTCCAGGCCCAGGTCTCGAGCTGTGCCTGGTCTGGGTCCCGCCTCGCAGCTCTGTTCAGCTAACTACTTTCCCTTCACCCCCAGGCCATCTGCATCTGTCTATCAGGCCTTCCCAGTTTCCCTTTTCCCGGGGTTAAGTCCCAGGACCGGCTGGCCAATTGCTACCTGGTCTTGAGTCCACTTTATGCTGAGGTTTTTCTATGAATAGTCGAGCGTGCACTTTCCACCCTAGGATGTATCATTTCTCTCTCTCTCTCTCTCTCTCTCTCTCTCTCTCTCTCTCTCTCTCTCTCTTTCTCTCTAGCAAGTCCTTCCTCATCCCTTTTGACTCCATCCTACCCTGACTGATATGCTAAAGGCATTTAGCATCCCAAAAAAAAAGTCTTCCTGATGCTTTACTATTGTGTAATAATAGTATGTTGCAAAAATAACAGAAGCTACTACTTAAGCTTATTAAGTACTCATTGTTTGTT